CGAGAGAGTTTTCGTGAGAGCGTGAAAAAGTGCGAGCGTATGTCTCATGGACCTCGTGTATATCCTACTTGTAAAACTTATGGGAAATAAAAATCCTATAAATTTGGGGGCTCGTCCGGGATATACGGAAAAAATTAACCGGAACCTCTCGCAAGATAAGCAGATGAGGTTAGAAGACCCTGATAGAAGACCCTGATAGAAGACCCTGAAAGAAGACGTTGAAAGAAGACGCTGATAGAAGACGCTGAGGGAAGACGCTAGAGCAACGAAATAAAGACGTAAGACGAGAAGACGTGAAGAGTAAGGAGGAAAAACCTACGATCCACGATGGGAAAATTAGGTCAAGTACTAGCAATCAACCAAAAGATCGGCACGGCGTCTAAGCCAGTAATAACCGCCATGCATAGATTCGTTTTTGAAGAAGACGGAGACAGAAATAATCGAAGACGCTTACGCGAGTTCAAAGGTTTTACGTTCAAGAACGATTCACCTGAATTCGCAGCTAAGATGCAGTATGCAGTACGCTTTACAATAGGAGATTTAATATCAATCTGCAATGTTCTGGGCCTTGAATATGCAGGAAACGCCGAGCAGCTAAGAGAAAGGATATTGAGAGCCTTAATGAATGTAGACGCCCTCAACCCAACCGATGACGAAGATGACGTGGCCGACGACGATGACGAAAAATATGAGGCCAGTGTGAACGAACTAAATGACGTGGGTGAAGTAGACGGCGACGTCGAGGAAGACGAAGAAGACGAAGAAGACGAAGATGTTAGAAGTCAGGCTCAAAGGTCGGATGTAAGATCGGGAAGAAGCTACAGACGGGGAAATAGACATTTTGTGCTACGTTATAGAGATGTCGAAGACTCAGTTCGCCCGTTTAACGGAACCGATTCATACCCGATCGAACGATGGATAAGTGATTTTGAGGAAGCGGCTGTTATGTTCGGATGGAGTGAGTTGCAGAAGGTCGTGTTTGCGAAGAAATCCTTGAAAGGAGTCGCCAAACTATTTATACAAAGTGAGAGTATTATTAAGACGTGGAAGAAGCTAAAGGATGCCTTGACGGAAGAATTTTCAACGAAGATTAACAGTGCACAATTACACAAACTGTTGGAAAGACGCAGGATGAAAAAAGAAGAGACATTTCAAGAGTATTTTTTTGCTATGAGAGAGTTAGCATCAAGAGGCTCTATAGAATCAGATGCAGTGTTCGACTACGTGATAGGCGGCATCAATGACGAAATATGTAATAAGCAAATTTGTACGGAGCAAAGACTGTCCGCGAATTTAAAGACAAGCTCGAGACTTACGAGAAGATGAAGAAGAGCGGTTCGGACAAAACAACAAAACATCCAAGGGCTCGAAACGAAGTAAACAAACATGTTGGTAAGAAATCCTCAGAAGAAGATGTTAAGAAGAAGACGCCAGACGATCAATCCGGCGGATCACAAATACGCTGTTATAACTGCGGTATGAATGGACACCACGCCAAGAATTGCGACAAGAAGTCTTTAGGAAAGAAATGCTTTAGCTGCAACAAATTCGGTCACGAAGCAAAAGATTGTGAGGATAAAAAGAAGAATGCTACATCGGACGCGGATCAAGCGGTTAATTTGGTAGATGTTTCTCCAACGAATGCGTGTAAGAGTATTGTTATAAATGACGTAAAGTTTCAAGCGCTAATGGACACGGGTAGTACAGTTAGCTTACTTAGAGAAGACGCGTTTAGAAAATTACGAAAGTATACACTTGTTCAGTCGTCACGTACATTTTTCGGTTTCGGAGGCGGAGAATCAAAGACGCTAGGATATTTTCAAACTATTGTGTATATCGATGGAGAAGATTATCCTTTGACGTTATATGTTGTACCACATGAGTCGGTAAACATGGAAGCAGTTATAGGTAGAGATATATTAGAACAAGCCGATGTAAATTTTGGACGAGAGGGTATATTAGTTTTGAAGAAATCAGTAATAAATTTCCTAGCGCAGATTAACGTTTCAGAAGAATCGCGAGTAGATGTTGAACATATTCCAGACGTAGAAGTAAGAGATCGAGTTAAAGATTTGATAGGCGAATATAAACCGAAAAAACATGATTGTAAGACTACGGGAATTAATCTGAAGATAACGCTAAAGAATGAAAATCCGATTTATCAGAGACCACGTAGACTAGCGATTCCAGAGAAGAAAATAGTAGAAAAACAGGTACAAGAATGGATAGAAGGAGGTATTGTCGAACCATGTTCCTCGGAATATGCAAGCTCGGTAGTCGTAGTGAAAAAGAAGGACGGTTCGCCGCGAGTTTGTATCGATTATCGACCGCTCAATCGAATTATAAAACGAGATAGACATCCGTTGCCATTGATAGAAGATCAGATAGACAAACTAAAAGACGCGCGAATATTTAGCACACTCGACCTTAAAAACGGATTTTTCCATGTGAAAGTAGATGAAGAAAGTCGTAAGTACACAGCATTTGTCACACATGAAGGTCAATATCAATTTTTAAGAGCTCCTTTTGGTTTGTCTAATTCTCCTCCAGTATTCCAGAGGTTTATCAACCATATTTTTAGACCGTTGGTCAATGCCGGAATAATGACGTTATATTTAGACGATGTTATAATTTTAGCCATTGATTATAATCAGGCTGTGGAAAGACTAAAGACTGTATTAGAGGTAGCCAGCGATTATGGATTAGAGTTAAATGTTAAGAAAGGTAAATTTATGAAGACGCGTATAGAGTATTTAGGGCAGATCATAGAAAATGGAACAGTGTCTCCATCCCCAGAAAAAATAAAGGCGGTAATAGGATTTCCAGAGCCGACGACGATCAAGCAAGTTCAGAGTTTCCTTGGCCTCACGGGATATTTCCGAAAATTCATCGAAGGATATTCGATGATTGCGAAGCCGCTGAGTGACCTACTGCGTAAGGACAGAGATTTTCAATTTGAAAAAGCGGAAAAAGACGCCTTTAACGAGTTAAAGCAGGTATTAAGTAAAGAACCCGTCTTACAAATATTTGATCCGACGTTAGAGACAGAAGTACATACGGACGCTAGCCAGGATGGAATAGGCGCGATCTTGTTGCAACGATCAAAAACAGATGATAGATTGCACCCCGTACAATACATGAGTCGTAAAACATCACCAGCTGAGAGAAAATACAGAAGTTACGAATTAGAGGTATTAGCCGTAATTGAAGCTTTAGAGAGGTTCCGTATATACTTGCTCGGATTAAGATTTAAGATAATAACGGATTGTGCAGCTTTCACCCAAACGATGCAGAAAAAAGAAGTATCACCGAAAATTTGGCGATGGGTTGAAAAACTGGAAGATTTTGATTATGTTCTAGAGCACTGACCAGGTATCCGAATGAAGCATGTGGACGCGTTAAGCAGAAACGCCGTTATGACGATAATCGAAGATGGTATACTGGTGAAGATAAAAGCTGCCCAGATGGAAGATCCCAGATTAAATTCGTTGATGAAAGAACCAGAATCAGAACTGAGTGACGGTTATATTTGATGGGAGGAACACTCCATAAACTTATAGACGGCAGGGACTTACTAGTTGTTCCAGATCTCATGCAAAACGAGATAATACGAGAGATCCACAACAAGGGACATCTTTCAGCTAAGAGAACCGAGGATATAATACAGAAAGAATATTTTATACCGGACTTAAAGAAGAAAATCGAAAATATTATAACGAATTGTATCCCATGCATTTTAGCTAATCGAAAGTCTGGCAAACAGGAAGGTCAACTTCATCCACTACCTAAAGGAGACGTCCCTTTACACACATATCATGTGGACCATTTAGGCCCTTTGGAATCCACGAGCAAGAATTATAATCACATTTTGGTTGTCATCGACAGTTTCACGAAATTTACTTGGCTATATCCAACCAAGAGCACGACGTCACGCGAAGTAATTACGAAGTTAGAGTTACAACAACAAGTGTTCGGAAATCCAGCATGCATCATTTCAGATAGAGGAACTGCCTTTTCGTCAAAAGAATTTAATGATTATTGCGTCGCAGAAGGAATAAGACACATATCAATCACGACGGGTTTGCCTAGAGCCAACGGACAAGCTGAGAGGATTAATCGAACGATAATTCCGATACTAACCAAGCTGTCATTGGAAGATTCAACCAAGTGGTATCGATATGTCGGTCAGCTTCAGTACGTTTTGAATTCTACCTTTCAAATAAGTATTGGCTTGACACCATTCGAGCTATTAACCGGTGTAAAAATGAGGTGCAAAGAAGATCTACGTTTAAAAGAGGTGTTGGAGCAAGCTTGGCAAGAGCATTTTGAAGATGAACGCATTGTTCTACGGACGAAGGCTAAAAACCAAATATTGAAGACACAACAAGAGAACTGCAAAACGTTCAACAAAAGTCGTAAACCACCACGGAAATACAAAGTCGGCGAGCTAGTCGCAATTAAGCGAACACAGATGTCCCCAGGGCGAAAGCTACGCGCAAAATATTTAGGTCCTTATAGCGTTGTTAAGATTAAAAATAATGATACGACGTAAAGCGAACAACCCCAGGAGAAGGACCAGGTGTCACGAGTACGTGTGCTGAATTTATGAAGCCATGGTTAAATGTAAAGTAACCATTCGAGGCGAATAGTTAGTCAGAAATGGCCGAATGTAGGATTAGGATAAGATACAGGATTGTTTGAATTATTTTAGTTATTCTTTATTTTCTTTTAATTCGAGTTAGCCGCGGAGGAGTAAGGGCCGAGAGCGGTAGAGAGTAAGAGTGTAGTCCCAAAGAGGGAGCTGGGGCGTTGAGCGGCGCGCGACAGGGGCGAGAGTGACGAGGAGAGAGCTCGGAACCGGTTGATACGAGAGTTTTCGTGAGAGCGTGAAAAAGTGCGAGCGTATGTCTCATGGACCTCGTGTATATCCTACTTGTAAAACTTATGGGAAATAAAAATCCTATACAATTATTAATTTTTTTTCGTTCATCACCTCGTTTAAAGTTTTCAGCAATAAGTTCATCTACAGCATAAACTATTAATTCACAATCTATGACAGAAGTTTTATCATATACCTCTCGTACAGTATACCAATTGCATCATCTCTCTCGGCACTGGTCATATTACTTTGCAAACAACACACAAATTGATCGAAGCTTTCATTTACAGCTTCTATATCCTCCGATAGTTCGCGATATACATGCTCTACACAATGTTCGAGTTTGAGTAAAAATAATACAGTTGACATGTTCATGTACATGCAAGTGTCATCTAACGTTAATATTACAACTTTGTTATTATACGTTCTAACAAGTTCTAAAACTAAATTATCAATCTGTACCGATGATGCGTCTGTTGACTTGAAGAGCTGTTCTATTTCTACACGTTTCTTGATAATTTCCATCCACATTGAATAATCCAACACTATCTTATTTCCTTGATTATCGCCGAGCATGAATTCCACATAGGATTCGTCAGGTACCACGCAGATTCCAACATCCAAGTATTTGTACGCAGTGGATGTCAGGGCGAATCTCCTGCTCATGATACGAGGCGTGTAACGAGGTTTATCAGAACTGAAAGAATACATAAAGTAAAATAAATACATGTAAATCAGGAAAAGTATGAACAAATGTACAATAATTTTAGGGTACTTACGCATCATGCTGTTTCTTGCACGAAACAGTTTCATGTCAAGAAACGGATGGTGTACAACTTTGAGGAACGGATGGTGTATAACTGCTTCGAGGAACATACGGCATGTAACGCCGATTGCTAAAACTGTTTGAAAAATACAATTAAATGTTGAAAAAGGTATATAATATATATGCAATATCCCAGATAGCATTTTGACATCCAATGTATATACATTGCATATACATCAGTGTATATGACATATCCTATGAACATGCAGTGATATATCAATGACATACATTGGATATCGTAGGTATGTGCAAATGCAACGCGCTGTAGATGCAATTTATATCCATGCAATATACATGTGTATATTTGCCGAACATTCTATGTACATGTGTATGTGAATATACAGAAAAGTATATATATGTATATATTTATAATAATTTATAGTTCAACTGATTGACTGTTAGGTACTTACTAATCCAGTATTGAATCAGTACTGTATTTCCACAATCATTACGATAAAAAAAGTAATGGTTTTGGTACAAGATTTTATTGAAAAAAAAATAAAAATTTTCAACTAGTTTTTTTATAATTTAATATATATTCATAATTTCACACATACACACACTCTATCTCCTTAATTCTAATTAAGAAAAATCCATACTATGTTACAATTTTTGGAAACGCTTTGTGGGATTCGAACCTAAGATTTCGGATTACTAGCCTAGTACGCTAACGCTGAGCTAACTATTTATACATGTTTTATCTACTCTACTGTTCGGCTACATATTATTTACATATTATTTTAATGCTGGTGGTCAACAGTAATGGTTACGGAATTGCACATCACTCAATAATAAAATTGTTCAGTAATCATGTTTTCTTTAATATACTCACATATACATGTGCATAGAATGTTCGGTAAATATACACATGTATATTGCATGGATGTACATTGCATGTACAGCGCGTTGCATTCGCACATATCTCAACACTGATGTATATGCAATGTATATACATTGGATGTCAAAATGCTTTCTGGGTTCCAGCTTACAAACGAACAGATCGACCAGTTTGATGAACTCATAATAAAAATTATTACTATTAATAAAAGGTATATGTATATTATATTTAAAAATATATTTTTTATCATTATTTATTTCTTTTCATTAAATAATTCAATAGCCGGAAAATTACATGTAGGGATACTAAATAGCTATGGCTATAGCTTTTTTTTTTTACGTGTGGAAATCCTTTATGGATACCCGGGCCCCCCCTCCGGGAAGGGAGTTTACATTAAGTGGCTCGGGTTATGTGGGACTGCCCCCCTAATGGCGATCGGGTGCGGCCGCTGACATTGCGACCGCTGGGCTTACCGCACTAAAACCACACGGTGGACTGCGCTGTGCTTTACTTGGGGGACGCCCAGGACTTGGCAGAGCCATTACTTCTGGACGCCCCCCGCACCGGCCCGCCGTTTC